CAGAGCCAAAATAGGGTTGCAAATATTTTTATTGATGTAAAATCAACATCAATCATTTTATATCAAAATATTTACAATCCCATTTTGTTTCTGATCTTTTAAACGTTGTAATAAGAGAAAAAAATGGAATCCATAGTTTCTTTAGCTTTGGGTTCATCTAATAAGTAAAATTTTTCGAATCGTTTTCTAAGAATTTTGGATTATATGCATTTATTAGCACACCACAATATCTTGTAGTTTTCAGTTTTACACAGCTGGCGTATATCAATTCGGTATTGTTTTGCTGGCTGTTTTGTCGTAATTCAGAGAATTTCGCAGTTCCTTGCTAAAGGTAGGATAAGTGGTGATTTGACAGTTGCTGATATCAATGTGGAACTGCATAATTCGATGGACCATGACATTGAACTCGGAAAACAATATCCATCCAATATTTTAGATTATCCATTTCCAAGGAGTTTAGACGAGTACAGGCAAGCTGTGTGCGTAAAGCTTTTATTGATTAAAGATTTATTGCCCGATCGTTAAAAGAATTAATGAGACGTAATCCATTCTTTTAATAATCTCTTTCGTAGGGTGGAAGATAGATGGCAGGTGCATACATATAACGTCCAATTCAATTATTCACGTTGAAACAAGGAATAATTCACGATCAGTTTTAGTGAAATAAGCATTTTTGTTCAAAATTCATTTCTATGCACGCAGAAGCACGAGAATAAATTGCAGATATTTTGCCGGTTGAATTCCGCCACGTTATCAGGATTACTGCCTTCGGTAGTGCCGCGAGCGTTTGGCGGCGGAGGCGGTAGCGGAATGACTGGGGGCGGCCATGGTAGTGGGTTGCGGTTGTGTTCGTGATTCCATTAAACTTTTGTATTTTTTGTGTGTGTGTGTGTCTAGAAACCTGGACATTTAGTTTCATTAATCTAATGGCTATTTATTAACTGCCGGGAGGCATTACTTGCCACTGGCNAAAAAAATGTTTTGTCCGCTCTAAGCTGTAAAGTTGACAAACCTAAGATTATTACATTTTTTAGACACTAAGAGCGTAAGAATAATTGTGATTCTTAATTTTATCGTGTCATGGACACTGAAGATGTTTATTATACTTATGTTTTGTGTAACATATAATCTGTGAATAATTACGTAAAAATGATCAAGGTAAACGTGATGACGGAATCAGGAAAATGATACGTCTTTAGAATCAAAAGGAATGAGGTACTTATATAATTCCATAAACACTAGCCAAAGTGTGTTGACAACACTAATTTTTAGTGATTATGTTTGAATATAGTACAAAAGTAAAATTGATACTTATAAAAACGAAATAAATAATAATTGATTATGAACAGGTAAGAATAAAACAGAAATTATTACTTGATTTTAATCTTTAATAACAATTTTCTTAGTTTTTAATGATGAAAAGGGTAAGTGATAAAAAGACATAAAAATTTCGCGAAAGTAAACGTGTCTAAAAAGAATAAAAATAAAAATTAGTAAATTCAGAAAGAGTATTTTAATATTAACTCCGTTTGTATAAAAATATTACGCAAATTATATACTTATAACACCCAATACACCTTTTATTTAAGTATAGTATTTATTCAAATAAAAAGATTGATTTCGTTATACAACATAAAAACGTTTAAAAAATTGAGTGTGTAGGTACTCTACTATCGTCACTTGTAGTTATTAATATTACAATATTTTACAAGGTCCAAAACAATGGCGTCGTATTGAGCACATTTTTATTAGAAACTTACTTATTGTTAGAAACGCCAAACATTTTACTGTTACTGTACTCAATAACGTAACAAATAAGGCTTTATTTGGCACATACGCTTTTTCATGTAAAGACTTTACAACATGTAATAACTGCAAAACAGGCAATTCGGTTTTTAGCATTCCAAAACAATACTATCAAACGCTAATGGTTAGTCAAAACGTAACGGTAGTCTGTTTACCTACTTATTAGATATTTAGACCACAAATGGTAAGGCTTTTAAGCCACAGTGAACTTTTTAGAGTTTTCTGGGCATGTAGATATACCGTATACCAATATGTTAGGGTTCCCAACAATCTATGCTCATTAAAAGGGTGCAGTATAATTAGGGACACGGCTCATACGTGCATAACTAAAACACCCGCTAGGAAACATAGGCATATGTCTTCCCCTACCCTTAAAAAAATTTAAGGTAGATTGTGATGACCAAATATTTGATAACAATTATTTTCAGATGGACAACTATTCCTACCAAACAGAGGGAGAACCAACAGCCCATGAACTGGGAATAGTAAAAATAATCAGCATGGCAAATTCAACCCCTGGGCCTTCGTGCAGACAAGAAGTTTGTCAAGCTGCACGTAGAAGGTACCCACCCCCCGACTTAAGTGATACCTCCTGGCATAAACCTAAATGTACAGCATTGATTGTCTTACTAGGACTTTTTTTCGTCTGGATTATTGTATACGTCTCCCTGACGTTCGCCAAAATTGTGTAAGAAATGCCCATACTACTACTTGCGGATAATAAATAATAAATTGAAACTACCCCCATTGTGGGGATTTGTGAATCTGTTTAACACTTTATCTGTGATAATACACTATCAATGTAGGGAAAAAAGTGCAGAAGAAAATATGTAGCTGCATCATCTCGCAATAAGTCACGATAAAGAATATTAACGTTTTTTATTAATTTATTATTTTCTTTAATTACACACAATATACCTACCAATGAAGGAGTCATGTCTAAAACTGTAGATAGCTATCGATTAATACAAAAATAAACGTATTTTTTTATATTTATGTTGAATATTCTGTATTACATATACAACTTTTATCATTAAACTTTTTGTAAAGGTACAAATTGCCCTACAGTAATGCTCTATTAACTAGTGAAGCTCGAAAATGGAGTTATACGAGGGTGGATTGATAAGTTTCCGGCCTGACCAAGAAAAACAAGGTTTTTAAAAATTTTTTTTTTTTATTTCTCAACATAATCTCCTCCAAGGCTGATACATTTCTCATAGCGGTGTTCCAGTCTATTAATGCCATCTCTATAGACTGATTCGTCAAGCTCCTCAAAATAACCATTTACAGCTTCGATTACTTCTTCATTGTCCGCAAATCTCTTACCGCCAAGCCATTTTTTGAGATTAGGGAACAGAAAATAGTCACTCGGGGCTAGGTCTGGAGAGTAAGGAGGGTGCGGCATCAATTCAAACTTTAGATCGTTGATTTTAGCCGTCGCAACGATTGACGTGTGCGCTGGTGCGTTATCGTGATGAAACAAGATTTTTTTCTTCGCCAGATGAGGTCGTTTAATTTTCACCTCGTGGCTCAAACGTTGCAATAAGTCTGCGTAGTATTGACCAGTGATAGTATTACCCTTTGCAAGGTAATCAATGTATATAATACCTCTTGCATCCCAAAAAACAGTAGCCATAACCTTGTTCGCCGAAAAAATTGTTTTTGCCTTCTTTGGAGTTGGTTCCCCTGGTCCAATCCACTGTTTAGACTGTTCTTTGGTTTCAGGAGTGTAGTGGTGGACCCACGTTTCGTCAACGGTTACGAATCGACGCAAAAATTCGCTTGGATTACGCTTATACAATGACAAATTTGCGGTAGAAATGTTTTTTCGAATCAATTTTTGGTCGACTGTTAGCAAACGCGGCACCCATCTTGCACAGAGCTTTTCCATATGCAAATGTTGGTGCAAAATATGTTGCACACGTTCATATGACATCTTACAGGTCTCAGCTATCTCACGCACTTTCAATCTGCGGTCTCCCAGCACTATTTGATGAATTTTTTCGATCATATCTGGAGTTGTGACCTCAACGGGGCGTCCTGAGCGAGGCCCATCAGAGGTGCTCACACGACCCTTTTTAAACTCGGAAACCCACTGCTTAACGGTTGAATATGACGGGGAGGATGTCCCCAGTGTTGAGTCCATCTCTTTTTTAATTTCCTTCGGCGTTAACCCCTTCAAATAAAAGTATTTGATGACAGCACGATTTTCCTGCTTTTCCATTTTTACGAAAACCACAGAGGCGTCTTGTTCAGCGTGCTGTCAAACCTACACTAGCAAGGAGATCGGGCTGAAACTATAGCTACAAGCTATCCAAGGATGGTACTATAGAATGTCACCTCAAGGTAGGCCTAGTGGCGTCATCTCTTGGTTAGGCCGGAAACTTATCAATCCACCCTCGTATATGTAGTTCTCTCTCCCTAAATAATGATATGTAGTTCTCCCTTCCTAAGTAAGTCAGGGGATGAGAATACTATCTCACAGATAATTTTTCACTTTTCTCAACTACCACCCACTAAAATCCAGGATTCCTGAAAGGAGACTGAAAACTGAATTTCAGTTTAACGTAGTTTAATATATTAGAAACTTTTCTTTTTTACGAAAAATCAAAATTGCTAAGAATACAACTTTTTATCCTAATGTATTTGAAGTTACAGTGTGACTCACAAATAAATGTTAGGAAGTACAAAAAAGTTAGGGTAACTCAAAGTAAACCGATTTTACTTTTGACTGATATCATCCTATGTATAAAAGTAAATACTGAAGTGTTATTGTAAATCAGTTACAAATAAGTTATTCTGTTAATAAATAAAATATAAAATGCTCTTGTAGTCGCACACTCACGAATCGTACGACCAGTAGCGTCGCACTCTTTCTTAACTTGTTTTTAAATGATAGGTACGTTTAATATTAAAAATTGCAGTTTAGTATGCCATTCACTAACTGCACGATTAACAAACTTTTGCTTAATATTAATTTTAACATTAAATTTAAACACTCACATTGAGACCAACGTATTAAAGTTACAATTAGGGAAATTCCCGACACTAATAGAAAAAAGAAAAAGTAAAACCCCAATTCAAGAAAAATGACAGTGATTTTGGAAATATGAGAATATCTAAAGTTCAGCATGTAACTTTATATTCTACAGCATGTGGTATATGTATAATATAAATATAAAACAAAAACATTAACATATTAATTCAGTCTTTTATTATGTTACATATGTACACATTTAAATGATACAAAAGAGTAACTACATTATCTTCTTTTGGCTAGGTCGAATGAACATACTGTCTTCATTCATCAGTATTCTGTAAAATAATTTATTAATAACTTTATTGCAATATTTAATTAAATAAAATAATAATACGTACACATTTGCACTGCCTGTCATACCCGGCATATTAATTGGTGCTAGTTTAGGTTCTTCGGGAACTTTTACCGTTAAGGTAGATTTCGGTCCAGTTTTCCAAACGTTTCCTTCCTTATCGACAACCGCTGCTTCGATAACTAGCACGTACTGCCCCCCACGTGGAAAAGCTAATAAAAATTGGGCAACAAAGAAGTCCTTATGGGGTACAACCGTTTGATTTAATACTGAAGTGGTTTCGATATTCTAAAATCAAAAACCCCAACATGTTGCACTTTCAAACTTAATTTTCTTTTGAAGAAGACTTTCATAATTATTACATAAAAGACGTAACATAAATGTTACCTTAGTGTCTAGATCTTTTCCCTTATTACTTGACTGAAATTGAGAAGTGACTGTAACCAAAACCCCGTCGATTTTTCTAAACAATCCAGGAGTTTGACCGTGCTGAATGACACCCTCAACTTTAACAGTCAATTGAGAACCTGCCTGAACGCTAATGAATTCACCCATTACCCTTGGCTGAGGCGAAATTGCCAATTTAAGACTCGTTGATTGAAGTACTTGGAAAAAATAGCGTGGCAATGGCAAAGAAGTATTTATTAACACCTCCACAATCTTTTCAATTAACTCTGTTTGCTGCAATGATTGAAATAAAGAAAAAAGTGTAACATTTTATACATATGTAAATAGGGTAGCAAATACCTTGTGGGTTATGGTTTGTTGATTACTAGATTCAGTAACTATTTCCACAATTTTAGCTGCGTCTTGGCATCCTTTAATAAGTTGTCTGGACTCGAGTTTAGCAGTTTGCAATGTATGTGAAATAAATTTCGTCGATTCTTCTTTCAATTTTATACCAGTCACACAAACGCTTTCAATACAATGTTCCAGAACGGCACAAGTCTGTTGTAAACTTTAAGAGAGAAATACAAACGAATAAAATTACATTCTCTCAAATTAAGAAATAAAATATTATAAATATTCATTTTATAAATGTGCCTTGGATCTTTTAGAGCATTTTTACAAATAAAAGGATCTTACATTTGTATGTTTTCTAATGTGACAGGATCGGCATCGAAAGCAGTCTGATACAACTTCCAGTACATGTCACCGCAATTTTTAAAATCTTTCACGCATTTTCGAATTTGGTTCGTGATATAACCGTGCCTTTGGTATTCATCCCTTGTGGTCTGTACGATAGTCGATGCAATGGCGGGGGGTGGAACAATGCACAATATGTTGCAAGTGTGCAACAACTGCACCAAACATTGCAAAAATTCTGCTCGAATTCTCATGTATTCTGCTTGAAATTGGAGATTATTTGATGGTGTACTCGCTGCCTAATAAAGCAAAAATGAAAATGTTTAAGAACGTGCAAAAAACCAATAGATAAATAAATAGTAATTGAACTAGTTCTAAAAAATTATTAAATAATTACCTTAAGTGCTGCTATAGCCTTATTATAATTCACAATGGCTTCATTTATTCTATCAACCAGACTATTTTTGCCTTTGTCATTTATCAAACAACTCTCAGCCTTCGACATTTCTCTCAAGCACACAAGCCAGAAATGTAAATGTTCGGAACTGACCTGGTCAGTTAATTTAGTGAAAATATTCAATGCGATCATATGATGGCCATAACGAACAGCAGATCGGCCGATTTTGTAATTAGCCCATTGATTATTGTTTAATGTTACTCTGAAAATAACTTCAGCAGTTTCTGTGTCCCACTGAAAACCACATAACGACTGAAACACTAATGTACATAGAATGACTTTAGTTTGTATTTGCTGATCAGTGGGAGAGCTTATTTCTGATAATTCTGATAATAACTTCAAAATATTTCCTAAAAGTGGCAATAAAGACTCTGGTTGTAAACTACCAATAGCACCCAGAGTCTCGCAAATGCTTGTAATTGAATCATCTAAAAAAAGAAAAGAAAATCAAAATATGTTAAAATCTGGAATATAAGTTTCAGGAATTACCATTTGCACTTTCAAGTTGACACCCCAGTAACTCAATAAATATTTTACAATGATCGTGTTTAGCTTCGCATAGTTGTACGGAACACTTAAGGGCTTTCTTTAATTGATGTGGGTACCTTTCTTCAGAAAAAAATAAAAGCAATATGAAGGTTTCTAATGCTGATATAACATCTTCTATGCCTTCTGTCTCCAAGTTTTCTTTGTAACTAAAGATACAATTCAAAATTAGAAACTTACAAAATGTTTGCTTCCATTTATGAAAATGTAATTTACCAATAACACAAAATTTTAACGAGGATCTGAATGGCTCTTGTGGTGATAATTGGATTGGAGGAGTAGCTGTGTCTAGAGCAGAAATCGCGTAATTTTGAAGTAGGATTTTTGTAGTCATGACACACTTTAGGAGATTCTGCCAAAACATTTATTACATCTGAAAAAAAAAGGATTAAAGATAATAATTTAACAATCTAATTGTAACATTAAATATTTTTTCCACTTCTTTCACATTAATGTGTATTAAATATTGATTAATTAAATATAGTAAACTTTGGTTCACCTAGAGTTAGTAGCAATACATTGGAGGACTTAGTCCATAATGCCATTTCAACCAAGCTATCAATACTACCAGGTGGCCATAAATGAGCCCCAGGTTTTGCCAATAGATGCAGATCTTTTAAAGCCTTAGATTTAACTTGCCAACGGGAATCAGAGCGCAGATATTTAAGCAACAAATTAACCTGAGAAAGAAAAAAATCACAATTAGTTTTCACAGTAGGTCCTTCAAGAAAAATCAATGACAAATTTCCATTTTCTATTTGTTTTCATTTGTATCAATTTAAAAGATAAAATAACAACACTATTTGTATTATTGGAGTCAATTAATTTAAATAAAATTATATGCATATAAAAAATGTATAGTATACATATTGGTGTACCTGACTTGGTATATCTACCAAAGTAGCTACAGCTAACTGTGTCAGAGCATTCAAAGTAATTAACAAGAAGTCCTGAGCAGGATAACTGGGCAATAAGTTTAAGCACACAGTTCTGACCATGGCAGCTGTACTTGTGTCATGATGCATGTATTGTAAAATTGGAATCAGTTGAAGTTTCATATTAGCTGGTGTGGACTGTCCCTGAATCATGTCTGAGATCTTGTTACACATGCTAACAGCAAAAGTCCTTAAATGATGATCATTTCAATATTATGCCAAATTAATAATAAAAAACAAATTTACTTTGACTGAGCAGCAAACTGTATAGCAGCATAAACAGCAGCTTCAACTTCAACATTATCATGAGAATCTAAACTCCTTCTAATACTATGATGAACCTGTTGCCTTTCTGGAATAATTCCAGCCACAGCCCCTAGTGTCCTCAATGTCAAAGCTCTGGCAATAGGATCATTACTGTAAATAACACTGTGAACCCTTCTAACAAATTCATCCACATTTGACATTTTATCCAAATGCTTCTCACTTTGTTGACAAACTCTCAACACCCACAGTCTTAAAAAGTTACTTCTAAAGAATATAAAAATCAAATTAATTATTTAAAATTCAATTTTGCNGGACATTTTATGTATTGTACTGTCTCTTTGAATTGTTACGGTAAAGTACATACGTCTTAGCGTTAAAATTCCAAAATTCGGAACTGTGTAAATTAATAATCTCATAATTTGTAGGTAGATAATCTATTCCTTTATTAACAATCTTTTATAAGACTATTCGATAATGAAAATTAGTATAAAATAGTATAAAGTACTGATTAAATAGGAGTTTAGGAGAACATGTTTAAGGAATGACAAAAATTTTACAAATTTATTAATCTTTTACGTTAAAGTTGTGCTGGATTTTACATATTTTATTTGTGAATACATATTACAAATAAGTGAGGTTAAGTAAATTTGAAGTAACCCTCAAGTACTTTTCTCATTTAGGCGTTTCATCTTAAACTATACAATCAATATACAGTGTGTTTAAAAATAATGGGTTTACAGTTAGTGTTGTGCATGTATAATTTCTAAACAGTTAAACTATAACAGTACATTATTAAAAGATCAGTGCTTCGACAGAAGGACTAAAAAGTTAACTATTTGAAGGTTTAATTATAAGCATAAAAGCAAAAATATCAACAATCAGAAATATAATTAAAACAAAAAGCAGTAATTGGGCAAATATGTACATACTTATCATAAACGCTAAATAATAAAAACTATTTACTTATAGTCTAAAATATTACTATATAGGGTGTTCAATACGCGAATATTTGGAGAAAGTTGTACGAGTTTCATCAGTAAAGTTGAGTGTCTGATGAGATGAAGGCTGCTCAGAAGTGTATACCAACGAATAATGTGATAAACTGGCCGTATCAGAAGAGGAAACTCCATTACGTGATTCGTAAGTAATATTGTTAATACTCATATTCGTTCTCGACGTTGATGGCGTTGATTCCGACAATAATGATGAACTGGTCGGCTCAATAGTGGCTGGTATCGGAATAATATTGTCTTTAGTCATTTCTGGACGTTCGTAGTTCCCATACCTTTCTCGTCTCTCTCGTGCCCTTCGATTTTGAAACCATATCTTCACCTAAAAAGTTTAACATTGAAATAGCGGAAACTATTATTTATAATATACAAGCAAGCATAACGCCGGAATGTACCTATTTGACATCGCACTCGAAAACTGTCGGTACCACGAGATTCTACGTACTTTTTTACATTATTATCACTTCTTAAAGCTCAATAAATACCTTCCATCTCCAAATAATTTCACGAGCGCTTTTTAATGTTAAAATTATATCATATACTTTAGCGAAGATAACGCTGGAATGTACCTTTTTGACATCGCACTCGAAAACTGTTGGCACCACGAGATTTTACGTCCTTTTTTACATTATTATCACTTCTTAAAGCTCAATAAATACCTTCCATCTCCAAATAATTTCACGAGCGCTTTTTAATGTTAAAATTATATCATATACTTTAGCGAAGATAACGCTGGAATGTACCTTTTTGACATCGCACTCGAAAACTGTTGGCACCACGAGATTTTACGTCCTTTTTTACATTATTATCACTTCTTAAAGCTCAATAAATACCTTCCATCTCCAAATAATTTCACGAGCGCTTTTTAATGTTAAAATTATATCATATACTTTAGCGAAGATAACGCTGGAATGTACCTTTTTGACATCGCACTCGAAAACTGTTGGCACCACGAGATTTTACGTCCTTTTTTACATTATTATCACTTCTTAAAGCTCAATAAATACCTTCCATCTCCAAATAATTTCACGAGCGCTTTTTAATGTTAAAATTATATCATATACTTTAGCGAAGATAACGCTGGAATGTACCTTTTTGACATCGCACTCGAAAACTGTTGGCACCACGAGATTTTACGTCCTTTTTTACATTATTATCACTTCTTAAAGCTCAATAAATACCTTCCATCTCCAAATAATTTCACGAGCGCTTTTTAATGTTAAAATTATATCATATACTTTAGCGAAGATAACGCTGGAATGTACCTTTTTGACATCGCACTCGAAAACTGTTGGCACCACGAGATTTTACGTCCTTTTTTACATTATTATCACTTCTTAAAGCTCAATAAATACCTTCCATCTCCAAATAATTTCACGAGCGCTTTTTAATGTTAAAATTATATCATATACTTTAGCGAAGATAACGCTGGAATGTACCTTTTTGACATCGCACTCGAAAACTGTTGGCACCACGAGATTTTACGTCCTTTTTTACATTATTATCACTTCTTAAAGCTCAATAAATACCTTCCATCTCCAAATAATTTCACGAGCGCTTTTTAATGTTAAAATTATATCATATACTTTAGCGAAGATAACGCTGGAATGTACCTTTTTGACATCGCACTCGAAAACTGTTGGCACCACGAGATTTTACGTCCTTTTTTACATTATTATCACTTCTTAAAGCTCAATAAATACCTTCCATCTCCAAATAATTTCACGAGCGCTTTTTAATGTTAAAATTATATCATATACTTTAGCGAAGATAACGCTGGAATGTACCTTTTTGACATCGCACTCGAAAACTGTTGGCACCACGAGATTTTACGTCCTTTTTTACATTATTATCACTTCTTAAAGCTCAATAAATACCTTCCATCTCCAAATAATTTCACGAGCGCTTTTTAATGTTAAAATTATATCATATACTTTAGCGAAGATAACGCTGGAATGTACCTTTTTGACATCGCACTCGAAAACTGTTGGCACCACGAGATTTTACGTCCTTTTTTACATTATTATCACTTCTTAAAGCTCAATAAATACCTTCCATCTCCAAATAATTTCACGAGCGCTTTTTAATGTTAAAATTATATCATATACTTTAGCGAAGATAACGCTGGAATGTACCTTTTTGACATCGCACTCGAAAACTGTTGGCACCACGAGATTTTACGTCCTTTTTTACATTATTATCACTTCTTAAAGCTCAATAAATACCTTCCATCTCCAAATAATTTCACGAGCGCTTTTTAATGTTAAAATTATATCATATACTTTAGCGAAGATAACGCTGGAATGTACCTTTTTGACATCGCACTCGAAAACTGTTGGCACCACGAGATTTTACGTCCTTTTTTACATTATTATCACTTCTTAAAGCTCAATAAATACCTTCCATCTCCAAATAATTTCACGAGCGCTTTTTAATGTTAAAATTATATCATATACTTTAGCGAAGATAACGCTGGAATGTACCTTTTTGACATCGCACTCGAAAACTGNTTTAGAAATGAGTGTCAAAGTATGCCCCCCTTCCTTATTTATGAAACTGCAGAAACTAAAATTTTTAAACATTTTCTTTCAGTTTTGATATATTACAGCAGCAGCTGCATCATATTAGTAGTTCCAGATTCAAACAAAATGGATGGGTAACTAACTAACCATACACAAACTGTTTGAACAAAAATAATCTTTGTAATTACCACTTAGAAAGCAAACGGGCGAACATAATTGACCCGATATGCCATCAAATTGTTTGCAAATAAGTGCATGTTCCTCTTAAGTGGTTCCAACAGTGGTCCGATAGCTGACAAACCGCCACAACCACTAAATACATACATTTGTGGTACTTCTCGCCATATCTGATCATCTTCGCATTGTTATCCCTTATACAAATTTAAATCGGTAAAATGGGTGGTAAGTACCTAGGTTGTGCTTTATTTATTCGTATACAGTTACAAAGTGGAGCTGCAGGGGACATTTTATGTATTGTACTGTCTCTTTGAATTGTTACGGTAAAGTACATACGTCTTAGCGTTAAAATTCCAAAATTCGGAACTGTGTAAATTAATAATCTCATAATTTGTAGGTAGNCAAAATATTTACAATCCCATTTTGTTTCTGATCTTTTAAACGTTGTAATAAGAGAAAAAAATGGAATCCATAGTTTCTTTAGCTTTGGGTTCATCTAATAAGTAAAATTTTTCGAATCGTTTTCTAAGAATTTTGGATTATATGCATTTATTAGCACACCACAATATCTTGTAGTTTTCAGTTTTAGGCAGCTGACGTATATAAATTCGATATTGTTTTGGGGGCTGTTTTGTCGTAATTCATAGAATTTCGTAGTTACTTGCTAAAGGTCCAATAAGTGGTGACTTGGCAGGTGCTGATATCAATTTGGAACTTCAAAATTCCATGGACCATGATATTGAACACGGGAAACAATATCGATTTAATATTTTAGATTTCCAAGGAGTTTAGAATTTTTTGAGCTCTCTTTAGTTAAATTTTTAAGTTTCTAATACCTTCAATGACCTATGTGAGCGACTTTCTTTCATCATTTTATATAATGTTTGTTCTGTGATACTAGTAAAACTTTTAACGGCAAAAATGTATTTTGGATTTTACAAAGAGTAAATACGTTTGGAAAAGTATTTTAAATAAAATACAAAATACTTTTCTCAAAAAAGTAATTAAATGCAAGATAAAAATAGGTATTTTTTATTTTGTATTTGCACTTTAAATGCAAGTATTTCAAATTAATTACATCTGTGATTTGCACCTGCACTCGTAAAATTTTGTTTTTGTTTTTAATTATTGATAATAATATGTTTTACAATCTTTCAACCGTGTCCGCCTCTCTAAATGTTATTATATATAACTATAAAATTAGTAAATTAAAAAAATGTTTTGTCCGCTCTAAGCTGTAAAGTTGACAAACCTAAGATTATTACATTTTTTAGACACTAAGAGCGTAAGAATAATTGTGATTCTTAATTTTATCGTGTCATGGACACTGAAGATGTTTATTATACTTATGTTTTGTGTAACATATAATCTGTGAATAATTACGTAAAAATGATCAAGGTAAACGTGATGACGGAATCAGGAAAATGATACGTCTTTAGAATCAAAAGGAATGAGGTACTTATATAATTCCATAAACACTAGCCAAAGTGTGTTGACAACACTAATTTTTAGTGATTATGTTTGAATATAGTACAAAAGTAAAATTGATACTTATAAAAACGAAATAAATAATAATTGATTATGAACAGGTAAGAATAAAACAGAAATTATTACTTGATTTTAATCTTTAATAACAATTTTCTTAGTTTTTAATGATGAAAAGGGTAAGTGATAAAAAGACATAAAAATTTCGCGAAAGTAAACGTGTCTAAAAAGAATAAAAATAAAAATTAGTAAATTCAGAAAGAGTATTTTAATATTAACTCCGTTTGTATAAAAATATTACGCAAATTATATACTTATAACACCCAATACACCTTTTATTTAAGTATAGTATTTATTCAAATAAAAAGATTGATTTCGTTATACAACATAAAAACGTTTAAAAAATTGAGTGTGTAGGTACTCTACTATCGTCACTTGTAGTTATTAATATTACAATATTTTACAAGGTCCAAAACAATGGCGTCGTATTGAGCACATTTTTATTAGAAACTTACTTATTGTTAGAAACGCCAAACATTTTACTGTTACTGTACTCAATAACGTAACAAATAAGGCTTTATTTGGCACATACGCTTTTTCATGTAAAGACTTTACAACATGTAATAACTGCAAAACAGGCAATTCGGTTTTTAGCATTCCAAAACAATACTATCAAACGCTAATGGTTAGTCAAAACGTAACGGTAGTCTGTTTACNATCACTTCTTAAAGCTCAATAAATACCTTCCATCTCCAAATAATTTCACGAGCGCTTTTTAATGTTAAAATTATATCATATACTTTAGCGAAGATAACGCTGGAATGTACCTTTTTGACATCGCACTCGAAAACTGTTGGCACCACGAGATTTTACGTCCTTTTTTACATTATTATCACTTCTTAAAGCTCAATAAATACCTTCCATCTCCAAATAATTTCACGAGCGCTTTTTAATGTTAAAATTATATCATATACTTTAGCGAAGATAACGCTGGAATGTACCTTTTTGACATCGCACTCGAAAACTGTTGGCACCACGAGATTTTACGTCCTTTTTTACATTATTATCACTTCTTAAAGCTCAATAAATACCTTCCATCTCCAAATAATTTCACGAGCGCTTTTTAATGTTAAAATTA